TTTTTTCTTAATCTTTGTTTTCTGAAGTTTTAATATGATAGATGCAGGTGCAGTTCTTTGACATTTACCCTGCTCAGTGGCTTGGTGTCTTGGCGTCTGATATTAAATTGGGGAAATTCTCAGTCATTATTTCTTCTAATATTACTTCTATTCCTTTCTCTCTTTATCTTGTATTCCAGTTGTGCGTGTTACCACTCTTGTTGTTATGCCGCAGTTCTTGGATATTTCAGTCTGTTTTTTTCTCTCAGTTTTCTTTTTATGTCTGTATACCAGTTTTGGAATACCAGTTGAGAGATTTTTTTTGTAATAACTTCAAGCTCGATGATTTATTCTTCAGCTGTTACCAGTCTACTAGCGTGCCCATCAGAGGAAATCTTCATTTTTGTACAGTGCTTTTGAACTCGAGCAATTTTTTGTTAATTTTCGTCTCTCTGCTTATGTTATCCATATGTTTCGCATATTGTTTAATTTTTACAGTATAGTTTTTAAAAATTCCTGGTCATATAACTCCAACACTCCAGCCACATTGACTATGGTTGTGATGCTTGTTCAGTATATTAAAACCGTTTTTTTTTAATTTACCCTTTAGTATAACTTATAGTTTTTTTCTTGATAGTCAGACACGACATGCTCAGCACAAGCCCTAATTAGTGGGGTAGGAAAAGCTGTCTACAGTGCTACAATGGGGGATTAGGTCTCAGACCTTGGCGAGCCTGTGGCCCTGGATCCTCACGTCACGCAGGTGTCTCAGTTTGTTTCCTCCGTAAAGTGGGACAGGAGGCCTGGACAGGGCTGGGTTTAGACATTTCCCTTTCCCCAGCAGGTTAAGCTCTGGGGAAATATTTTCTCCTGAACACAGGCTTTGTTAAGAACAAAATGTTCTGGAGTATTTAAAATAGTTCCTTTTTTCTCTCCCAGAGATAATTTTTCTTAGGTATTCGCTGTGAGGTCCTGGCAGGCCTCCTGTGGATAAGACTGACAAAGGCGGGGACATCCTGCAGTGGGCCCCTTGGAGTTTCAAATCCCAGATCTGCCCACATTGTCTCCAGTAATTCATCCACCAAGGTTAGTTCCGGCCCCAGGGCTCTCAAGCATGGGGCCTGTACTCACAGATTCCTGCTGCAGTTGAGGTGTGGCTCCTTGTGGCCGCCTGTCCCTCGGGTCTTTGGGAGAGTGTTTTTGTCCTGTGTCCTCACTTACTTAATGGATCTAAGAAGAGTTGTTGATTTTTCCGTTTGCTCAGCTTTTTACTTGTTCAATTTGTGTCCTTTGCACTTAAATTCACTCTTTTTATCATTTTGTTGATACTTTACTCATAGTATGTACATATTACTATATTTTATAGTAATATAAAATTTTCTTGACCCTACATTAAAACAATTCAGTATTAAGTATCAAAATATTTCTAAGTCTAATGCTTAGACATTTGGACTTGAAAACATTGTTATACATTGTCTTGTCATTGTTCTCCATTCTTTTCTGTACATCTCTGTCAATCACAGTTCTCCAGAGAAACAGAACCAATAGGAGATAAATAGATAGACACATGGATAAATAGATAGATTTATTATAAGAAGTTGGCTCATGTTATTTTACAACCGGAAAAGTCCAAGGATCTACAGTCAGCTAGCTGGAGACCCAGGAGAGCAGGTGGTGTAGCTCTAGCCCGAAAGGCTGCAGACTCAAGACCAAGAAGAGCCCATGTTTCAAGGCTGGAGACCAAAAACAAGTAGAGATTTACGCCCCGGTTCCAGGCAATCAATCAGACAGGAGGAATTCTCTTTTACTTGTGGAAGGGCCATGTTCTTATTCTATTCGGGCCTTCAAGTAATTGGATGCCCCCCCCCTCCCAGGTCAGGAGGGCAATATGCTTTGCGCTGTCTACAGATTCAGATGATTATCTCACCCAAAGATACCTCACAGAAATATGCAGAATAATGTTTGACCAAGTATCTGGGTAGCCTGTGGCTCAGTCAAGGTGACACATAAATTTAACCATCAAATACCCAAGAGTCTATCTGGGATGATATTCCTTACCTCAAAATTACCTTTTAGTGTGTCTTGTAGCTTAAGTTTTATAGGTGATAAATTCTATTAGTTTTGCTTTTTTAAAAGTGTTTTTTATTTAACCCTCATTTTTTAGATATATTTTCACCTGGTAAAGACTTCTAGAATGGCAGGTATTTTCTTCTGCACTTTAAAATATTATTTCATTGCCTTCCAGCTTCTTTATGTTAAGAAATCAGTCCTCAGTATAATTTTGTAAAACTCTGTGATTTTCCTCAAAATTTTTACTTGTTCATCCATGTAGATGTTGCTTAATCTTATAATTACTACCTTTGAATTATATAGTGTTTCCATCTCTGCATTTTAAAATAATTTTTGTTTAATTTTTGTACTTTTTGTTTCAAGAGAATGTATAATTGTTTTAAAATCTTTTTCAGAATACTCCAACATTTGATTCTTCTCAGTGTTAAGATCTCATTGATTATTTCCTAATTAAAATTATGGTTCTCCTGCTTTTTGGTATAGCAAGCTTTTTAAAAATTATATCTTGGATATTTTTTGGACATTATATAAATATACATCTTATTTGATCTCTATTTCTAGCAGATGGTCCTCCTGCTGTGGTTGGGTGTGAATGCCAGTTGGCTGTGTATGTGCAGCTTTCTACTGGCCAAAACCACCTAAACAGGAGTGGGGTACTGCCCTCCATGGCCTCCTTGCTGATGAGAGGATGCGTGTTAATCTTCTCCCTTGGCCCCATTAGCACCAAGGAAGGGGACATTGAGGGCTGACTCATATTTCTTTGTTGCTGCATGATGAGCACAAAACCTCAGCTCCCCACCAATTCCAGAAAAGAGGAGAAGTGGAAGTGGTCCTCCTACCAGCCCGAATGCCAGGACCTTCTTTTCCATCTCTTGATGGCTCAGTGAGGCTGAGGCAACTTTTCACTGAGCTCTGCTAACCTCAGGAGGTCAAGGGGATGCCGTGGGTTTAGCCCCGTGTCATGCTGCACACTCAGTCTCGCTGCTACTGGCTGGGTATAGGGGTTCAGCTACCCCTGAGCCCCATGGCACTGGGGGGGGGATGATCCTCGTCTTGCCTTGCCCTGCTTTGTTAGTCTTGTTGCCGCCGGGTAAGGGTGGAAGCTGAGATTGCCAGTGGACTCTGTTGACACAACCCTGGTGGGAGAATCAGAGCACAGTTTGCTTCTGCCCGTTCCAAGCATGGGCAGACTCCAGCTCCCCACTCAGCCCCTCGGCCACCACTGCAGCAGGTGACTCAAGGCCTTCCTTGCTTCCGCTATGCAGGGCATGGAAGATCAGCTCTCTGCTCAGCCACTCTGATACTGTTTTCCCAGGAAAGCTGGAGCACTACTCATTCCCACTGAATAGCAACCTGCTCACTCCTGCTGACGTTGCTGGAGAGAGGGCTCAGAGGACTGAGCGGCCGACTCCCATGGAGCAGCACTGGAAAGCCATTCTCCGCTCAGCCCTGCTGAACCCACGACAGCAGTAGGGGCGTTTCCCATGGGTGTTTAGATGGAATAGAGTGGATGCTGACACAAAAAGCTGTCTGTCAGAATCACATGATGAGTCACTTGTAACATGAAGACTTCATAGTTAGTAACATTAATAACTCCGTTAAAGTGAAGGACAGCAGGGAGAGGTGAAGACGCCGTGGAGGTGGAAAGCGAGGCGCGTGTGGCCAGTGCCACAAACATAGACTTCAGAATCACAGGGGTCTGGATTTGAATCTGTGTCTACTCCTCATTAACTAATTGTACACAGGCATTGTAAAACACCCTTCACTTCAATGCCAACATTTGTAGAATAAGAGTAATAGTGTGAAACCCTGCAAAGCACCCTGTTGGTTCCCAGATCCCTGCTCTCCCAGGAATGCACTGCTGCGCGGGGAAAGCGGCTAAGCTTTCGTCTAAGGTCCTGCCCTCCGTCTACACCGCCATCGCCACTCAATCCTGCAAGGGGCAAAAGACGCTTGGCAGCAACATTACTCAGCAACCAGCACTACAGAAGAAGGGAGGGTGTAAATATGCGTATCATCTTCCTATGCATGCAGATTGCACCAAACACGTATATCCTCCCTTTCCAAGACTCTCCTCCCAACCAGTTCGGGGATGAAAAACATCTTGTGTTTTATAACTGCATTTGGTATTACAAAAATATAGCAACTCTATAAAAAATGAGTGCCACACAGCCCTTTCTTTAACAGCTCTCTCATGCAGTCCATGAGGCTTTATCACAGCGCTGATTATAAAGGCAAAGCCAGGCTCATTTCCAGTAACTTAATGACTTTTCCCAGCTGCTGTGACTAGCAAAGTACCCTTAAATAGGAAGACAGAGTTACTTTGAAAACCTATGCTGATTTTTATCTTCTGACTACTCGTCTATGGTGCACACGAACGCATTTCCTCAGATGTGCCTTTAGAGCATGTAAATCATGGCCATTGAAAAAGCTATTCGCTCATGGTGCTATTGGCTTTCCCGTGTTTAAATGAGCCACCTCACATCTAATATTGTGATGGTTTTGAATAACCACGTATAGCTCACCTGACAAAGTTACACTTTCTACATTATTACCAATTGCAATGGTCATTTTTCAAGTGCTTTTCTGGTTTAATACTCTTTCTCTTTCCCTTAAAAATGTCCAAACATAAAAGGGAACAATAAATACTCCAGGCTATAATAAAAACTTAATTTGCTCATTCTAAATGTAAATTTACATAGATTGCTCAGATAAAATTGACATTTTAATTATAGATTGCAAAGGAAACGGCCACATTTCATTGAATATTCTCAAGCCATTACATTTAAATGGCATTGCACATAGGTTGCCCGATCAGTCAGTGCTGGAGGCTTGATGATCTTGGATAAATGTGGAAATTTGTACTTCTAAATAATTAGTTTAAGCATCATTAAGCCTTTTAAAACCCATTTCTGCTTATAGTTTACATATTAAAATGTATTTACTGAGATTTTGGATTATTTCAAGTGTGAGAGAAAAGGCCAGGCAATAGACTGAAAACATATTAAACTACCAATGTCTCTATCAATGCAAACTTCCCACTGCCACCTATCCGGTTATCTTGCCTCTCCCTCGGGCCTTGTGTCCACCCTCTGTCATACCATAACACGAAGGCAGTGTCGAGTAGATGCAGTACAGAATCTATGTTCTTTCTGCACCCGTGCTCATGTTCCTGTTCAACACCTGAAACATAAAGGAACAAACTCTGTGAAGAAATATGTAAGTCGAAATGTGTTCAGGAATACTGAATATAGCAGAGACTCTCCTCCAAGTGGTGAGATTTCCCTGCATTTCATAATATATGCTTCTAGTTGTTGAAGAGCAGAACCAATGTTATCCCTCCAAACTTAATCACTTCTGGCTCAAAATAGCATCTGAACTTAAAAAGTTCAATTCCAATCCTCTATATTTTCACCAAAATAACCAGGAAAACATCAAAACATTTACAAACACACAAACTTGCAAATATAGACTGAATATATTGGGGTGAATAAACATTCAAAAGACAGATGAAAATCAAGTAATAAAACTTTTTTCAGATTTTAATTAAAAAATATCCTTCTAGTGGAAAAATGATATATAAAATGATTTGTGTATCTCAATCATTATTGTTCTGATTATGAAATTTGAAAACAATATCAGCTCTACTCAAAATGTTATCTGATAGACCCAAGACCCTCTCAGAAGGTTTATAGGGTCAAAATTATTTCTATACTATGACATTGTTTTCCATTTTCATTGTGTTGATATTTTCTCTGATGTTACCAAAGCACTGGTGTGTGATTTGTACACTTTAGTACAAATTGGTACAATAGCAGCAAGCACTACAAATAGTCCTTATTTTCTTAACTGCCATTGACTTGAAATTTTAAGAAAGAAAGTAAAATATACCAATTCCACTTAGGAATATCTTCAATCTTGATGAAGCAGTGTAAGTTATTGTATTTTTAAAACATTTCCCTGAGTATATTTTTTCAAATGTTTGGGGTGACAAATGGGACTAAGGATAGAACACTTCTGCCACTCACTGTTTATCTCAGAGAAAAGAACATGTAAATTGAGTTGCAAACTAAACTTTTGTTTTGTTTTCATGAAATGCCATTTAAATCTAAAGGAACAAATGACAGACAAACTAAGATTATTCAGATGTGGATATTTAGGAAGAATTTTCTTGAAACTAAAAACAGTGAGTCTATCACTTCTAGGAAAACATCTGACAATATTTTTTATGTAAATGATAAAATTATATCTTTCAAGGAAAAATTGTAGAATTTTTGAAAATTTGAATTGGCCGCTGTCAACTTAATAGCTGACTTAAACTCACAAGGGCCTTTCTTATGAGATTGGTGGTGATAGTAATAAATGTAATATTTTTATATCATATTTTGAAATGTGCCCAGATTTTGAATAGATGAATACAATCAGTAAGCCAATATTTTCAAAACCACAAACACATGACATTACCAAATAATACATGAATAAAAGAAATTAATTCAAAATATAAATTAGACCAATGAACTTTAATATAACTGAGTATAAAATATTTATTAACATAGATTCAGATTCTACAATGCTCCTAACTATTAAAAAAAAAAAAACTACCTCTTGCTGAGTTTTGGTATAGTCTGAAAGAAAAATATCAAATATGAGAAAACTCCAATAAAATATTCTTCACTTTTGCAAACACATGATTGTATAAAGTCATTTCTTTTTTTAATATACATCTGTGAAAATAACAAATTGCAGCAGGTTGAAGGCAGGTTCTACATATTGGTAGAGACTCTACCCAGCCAAACTATCACAAAATCATCTGAGCAGAATAAAGTTGTTTTCAGAAATGAAAAGCCTCAAAAATTTCGTTTCCATTTTAAGAGGCTAGTAGAAGTGACATTCAACCAATGTGAGAAAGCACAGTGCGTAGGTCTAAAGAAAATCTTGTCTTGATTGGAACAGATCTTCTAGAAAGCACTAGAAGGAATTTTATCAAGTGGAGCTTATCTGGACCCTCTGCAATATGTATAGAACACACCACAATTGCAGGAGGATTGGAAATTTAACTCATGATGAGTTCTTTAAAAATCAAAACTATAAAATTCTTAAGAATGATTATTAACACCAGAGAAAATAAAGAGTGCAAGCATAAAAAACTTCATACTCTAAAATATGGCTCTTCTATTAATATTTAGTTGTCATGATGACATTGAGAGAGCATGAAATCTCTTTCTCAGAGGAGGAGAGAAAAAATAAATTGCCTTCTTTCATATGGGTGTTCAATGGAAAATGTCGAAAACTAAAACTAAAAATTAAAATGTAGCAGTGTAAGCATGCTGTTTAGAAACATAGTGATAAATAATTATTTAAAATATTAAAAACAGTTGAAAACCTTGAGCATATTTGCTCTGTGGAAAGGAAAATGGAGGAAGGTACCCAGGTATGCTGTTTGCTTTTGTTTTATTTTTTAATCTTATAGAACTCTTTAAATACTATGTATGTATAGCTTAAATTTAAAATTTTAACTGAAGTTGAAACAAAGAGGAAAGAGAAAATTGAAACTCTTTTATTTTATTTGAAAGAACCTACATGGCAATGATAGGCAGAAAAGAATGTTAGAGTTTCTGCATGGCTTTTTGAGGCTTGATAGCTCCTTTATTTTTATCACTGAATATTATTTGATTGTATGAATATACCACAGTTTTTCATACATTTGCCTAGTAAGGGACACCTTTGTCACTTTGAAGCTTTGGCAATAATGAATAAAGCTACTATGAACATCCAAATGCAAGTTTTCGTGAGGACATAAGTTTTCAACTCCTCTGGGTAAATACCAAAGAGTATGACTGCTGCATCATATTGTAAGAGTACGTTTAGTTCTAAAAATATCTGTCAAACTATCTCACAAAGTTGCTGTACAATTTTGCATTCCCACCAGAAGTGGACGAATAGTTATCATTGATACATATCCTCATTAGCATTTGGTGTCATCAGTGTTTTGCTTTAAATCATACTAGTAGGTACATAGTGGTACATCCTTATTCTAATTTACAATTCCCAAATGGCATATGATGTTGAGCACCTTTTCATATGCTTGTTTTTCATCTGTATATCCTCTTTGGTGAGGTGTCTATTTAGATATTTTGCATATTTTTAAATTGGTATTTTTATTTTCTTACTATTAAAAATAAGAGTCTTTGTATATTTTTGCTATTAGTCCTTTATCAGATACATGTTTTGCAACAATTTTCTCCTAGTATGTGGCTCATCTTTTTGTTTTCTTTAGGAGTGCTTTTGCACTTTAATTTTAATGAAGTTCAATATATGCATTTTTCTTTCATGAATTATGTTTTTAATATTACATATAAGAAGTCATCACCAAGGTCACTTAAATTTTCTTCTATGTTATCTCCATAAGTTTTATAGTTTTGTATTTTACCTCTAGGTCTATAATTTATTTTTAGTTAATTTTTGTGAAAGATATAAGGCCTCTGTTTTGTTTTTTTTTTTTGGCCTGTGGATATTGAGATATTCAGTTATTCCATCACCATCATCATTTGCTGAAAATATTATCTATTTTCATTAAATTCTCATTGCTCCTTTGTCAAAGATCAATTGACTATAATAGCATAGGTCTATTTCTGGGTCCTCCATTCTGTTCCATTGATCTATTTGTTTATTCTTTTCTTCATAATACCACATTGCCTTGACTACTCTAGTTTTCTAAGTCATGATGTCAGGTAGTGTCAGCCTTCTGACTTTGGTTTTTTTGCCTTCAATATTGTGTTAGCTATTCTTGATCTTTTACCTTTCCATATACATTTTAGAATCAGTTCATCAATACCTACAAAATAATTTGCTGGGATTTTGATTGGGATTACATTGACTCTATAGATCAAGTTGGAAGGAAGAGATACATTGACAAGATCAAGTCTTCCTTTGCATATATGGGAATGTCCTTCTATTTATTGGATTTTTTTATTCATTATATTTTTATAGTTTTTCTCATATAAATGTTGCACATATTTTGTTAGATTACCAATATATGTTTAGATAAGAATGAAAAGACAAAGCATTTAAAATGAAGAAGTTATAACTGCTGAAAGCTAATATAGAGACAGAACAAAGGTATATGCCAGCAAGCCTAGGTACATATCCAAATTACTTATAAGCACTTAGAATAAATTGATAAATATAAAATATAAAATTGTAAATGTTTATGGAAGGCTGACTTTTTAAAAGTGTTATTGTTAAAGATGGAAAATTGCTTAGAAAGAATAAATTTTTACCACAAATCCTGTAAGAACATAAAGTGTGTGAATTAAATTTTTAATTAAATATTTTTAATTAAAACAAAGATATAACTAATAACAAAACTCACAAGACATTTCCCAGGATAGATAATATGTTATGCCACAATTCAATTCTTAGATTTTAAAAAGATAGATATGATGGAAGTATTTTCTCAGACCACAACAGGATAAAGTCACCAATCAACAAAAGAAGAAAAATTGGAACAGTCTCAAATTTACAAAAATTAAATAACATACAGTTAAACAACCAATGCATCAAAGGAGAACTCACAATGGAGTATAGGAAATATTTTGAAATGAGTGAAAATGAAAGCACAAAATCACAAAACTTATATGACACAGTGAAAGTAGTGCTAAGGGGAAATTTATAGTGATAAATGATTACATTAAAAACAAGGAAAATTTCAAGTCAACATCCTATCTAACTTAAGTTAAGAAACTAGAAAATGAAGAACAAATTGAACCCAAACCTAACAGAAGGAAGGGGATAATAAAGGTTAGAGCATAGACAAATGAAATAGGTCCTAGAAAAAAAATAATTGAATCAAAAATTGGTTCTCTGAGAAATCAACAAAATTGACAAATCTTTAGCTATATTCACTACAAAAAAATATAATAGACTCAAGTTATTAAAATTAGAAATAAAAGTGAGGTTATTATTACTGACTGATAAAACTGAGAAATCCCTAGAAACACAAAACCTACCAATACTGAATCATGAAGAAATGGAAAGTCTTAACAGACCTGTAACTAGCAAGGAGACTGAATCAGATATAGAAAGTTTCCTGACAAAAAAAGTCCTGGACATGGTAGGTTCACTGGTGAATCTTATCAGACAGTTAAAGAAGAATAATCACCAATTCTTCTCAAACATTTTTT